AAAAATAAATAAATAACAGTAATAATTTCTATCACTCACACAGCTTTTGCTAGATTTAGATTTAGATTTACTTTTAATAAAAAAAAAATTTAGAAGAACAGGAGTCTAAAAATGTTAATATATGACAATTTCGGGTACACAATTTACAGCTTTGCGCCAATGTGCTTTAATGGAGCACAGTGGGACCGAAGAGCTTGGGAGCTTTGACTTAGAAGACATATGAATTAATTTATAATTAAATTATTTAAGGTGATTCTCAGAGACATCAAGAAGTAACAAATTTAATCGATTTCGTTCGGAAATTTCATACACTTGCACCACTGTGCTGTTGCCAAGTGGGTCCCCGGAAAACACGAAGTAAACGCACTAAAGCATATTTTATGGCTCACTTGCAGCAGCAGCAGCGGCAGCAGCCGCCGCACATAAGTAACGTGATGTGAGAGATGGGGAGAGGCACTCAAACGACGGGAAGAATGATGATGCTGCTGCTGCTGCTGGAGGTGGTGGATGTTGCTGCTGCCGCTGCCGCTGCTGTGGATGATGAGTTGCCAGCTTTGCCCCTTTTGGTTCGATTTGCCATTGGCCGCCCACCCACGGCTCTTCGGGGACACTGGGGACTGCAGACTGGAGAGACTTTTTTGCTCTTTGTTTTCGTTTTCCTCGTCGTTTTCTTTTTTTGCTCATCGACTCGAATGTCGCCCAATTGGCAGCCCAGGACATTGTTTAATATGCAAAACCATTTCCGCCAACATTCCGATGCGTCGCAGTTGATGGTCTTAGGGGTTTGTTAGGGAGCATGAGGGATTGCCAAAGGCTGCCTAATCAGCATGAAATGTGCTTAAAGTGGGCAGCAGGGCTACAGATAATGATCACCCTGACGAAGATGATGATGATGATGATGATGATGTAGTCTCCCCAAGGCATTTGTGGCTGCTGCACATATTGATAACTGTTTGATTTTTTATGAGTTTATAAATTTGTGATTAGCTACAGGCTATCAGCTGGCGGCGGCTGCTGTGGTTTTTGATTGAGTTGAGCGTGGGCGGCTGCTGCTGCCGCCGTTGCGGTTGCCTGGCGTAAATTCCAATAAAATTCTAAGCCACGCAGCAGCAGCAGCAGCAGCAGCAGCGACGCTCAGCAACGCCCAAGCACTTTGCATATGCATGTAAATGTAATGCCAAGTTTTTCCGAGTGCTCTTTGGCGAGCATCAAGACAAAAGGCAATGGCTGTCGGTCCCACCATGCGCCACCAGCCGACAGATGGCGCTTTTGTCTTAACCCATTTCTGTTTTCGTTTCTTTTTGCTTCATTTTTTTTTTTTTCTTCTTTTACTCAACTAAATCGCACGACATGAAAACATAATTTTACTTCAAATTGCAATGACAGTTGCAGCAGCCACGCCCACACACTTGCAATTGCAAAAGCACCAGGGCATCACACACACACACCCACACACACACCCACACAGACGCACACGTGCACATAGTTGTCCTGCTGGGAAGTCGCATTCACATATATGAAGCTCCCTCCCACCCCTCGCTGCTGCCTTTTGTTATGGCAACTGCGACTGCGAAAAATTCCATTTCAATTGTTTGCTTAGCTTATGCAGTTGTGTTAAGCAAAATAACAAAAAAAAAAAAAAAAAAAATCAAGAAAAGCAAAGGAGAATAAGTGAATGGAACGCAATGAAAACAAAAAAAGTGCGAAAGCAATGCCTTTAAAGGCAAGTCGCTAACTGAGGCTGTGGCTGAGGCTGAGGCCAAGGCAAGAACTCATGCAGCTCGGCAGAAATTTCATTTTGCTCGCAGGCGACAAGTTGCAAGGTCTCAGCAGTGGCAAAAACAATTAAGATATTGCTTTGACCAGGTTGCCACTCTCCCCTCTCTCTCTCTCTCTTCCTCACTCACTCTTACACTCTCACCTGCTCACAAATATTTGACTTTTGCTCGCATGCCAGAGCATCTCGTCTATATGCCATATGTAAAACCCTTGGAATCTGTTGCCAACTCGGCACTTACAACTGCCTCTGCTGCTTCTTTCCACTTATGACAGCTTTTTGTCCAGATTTCCTGATTTTCCAATTGAAAATGTGAATGCCGGGCATGTTGTTTCTGCTGGAATGTGTGTAACCGGCGTTGTCAACTCTTCGAAGCTTATACGAGCCAGATCAGAACAAGTCAAAAAATTATAAAAAAGCTGAGCTACAATTTACAGACTCTAGGAATCTTCTAGCTCTTGATTGGCATATAGTAGAAAATGGTACTTATAATGGCAGAAAATAGGCAACGATGTGAAGGAGGTTAGCCTGTTGACCAACTTATGAAGGATATATATATATTTTTTTTTATCAGAATTGGGATTTACTTCTGTTTGTTTATTTTCCTGTCTGCCTATGAGACTTTGATATACTAGATATTTGGCATTTTACAGTTAGTTCTGTCATCATTTGCAAGTCACAACACATACCCAAATTGTTTTGCTATTATTGTACATTGCAGTCCATTGAAATAGAACTACATCCTCAATAATATAATTATAATAATTAATAT